TGTCGCGTCCAAAGCAGGAACATACTTTTTCACCAAATAGCCATAAGTAATATTTATATACTTGTCATATATATCTTAACTGATATTGTGATTTTATTTGATTCCTTTAAAACTACCTTCTTGAATATACGATTATGATAAAATATAAATGGGAATTTTCAATTAAAAAAAATATTGAATGAAGGAGTTCAAAACATTCTTTTGGTGTTGAATTGGTACAACTCTACTTGACCTGATCATTGGTTCGATTGTGATAGCTGTGTCTATTAGATGATCCCAGGGACATGTACATTGTACGGCTCAGATGAGCAGAACTGTCATCCATTTATATACGTAAAAACAGTATAATAATGATGAAAACTGGCGCCTAATTTGAAAATAAGACACGATGTAAGGGAGTTGGTATCTAATTTGACAAATATTTGAGTCAATATGGAAAAAACATTTGTTGCGAAAAACTCAACATGTGTTGGAATTTGACACTTTCAAACATTTTCGTACGTAGAAATCAACTTAGTTTTCTCTGTGTACGTTTACACTAGAACAGAACTGTGTACGTTTACACTATAGGCAGACGTAAATTCATCATATGGATTTTAATTAGCTTGGTATTGCTAAATGGTTATCGAAAAAAAAATCGGACCAAGCCCAATTTCTAGTTTGGATTTTAGCTGTTTCATTTTTACTCTCAGTTCTATTTTTGTTAGAAATATCGTCAGTTAGAAAAATGGTTTTTGTTCTTACATCTATTGATTTTTTGGAGCTGATATATAAAATGTTTTAAAAACCGCTATAAAATAATAGCTTGTTTCATTCGACCAAAATTCATGGCAATGTACGCAAGCCACTGCATTAGAGCATATTTGCCGGTGAGAAGATTCGGTACATTCATCATATTATCCACTTTGATTTTAGCAACTGGTCTTCTTGTTTGGTAAATATTATAAATATTTTACATTTTTGAGCTATTTTCGTCATTTCAAAATTTTCTTGTTAGGAATTACGAAAAGTTTTTATCCAAGCTCTTTAGACGTTCATTAAAAAGTGAGTGCAATAAAAGTGTGAATTATATACCTGGGCAACACAATTATGACTCTACCAGTTTCATGGCTGTTGCTAAAACGAATTCATGGTATTTGCAGAATGGTACGCGCTACCCAGAACCAGCGACCAAATCTCAAAAGACAGGTATTCGAGACACGAAATTATTTCCAGATGAAGATCCCGGAAATGATCGTATTTTAAATCAAATGATGTTCATTCCGTCAAACTATGATTCAATTTTAAAATCAAAGAAGGTTAAAACAATCCTAGCATACAATGGTTTCGTTTATTGGTGGAAGATTAAGAAAGGTGAAGATGTGTTCAAAACATTCAATTGTCCAGTTAACACCTGTCAATTGACAAAGAATCGAAGTGAAAGACAAACGGCTGATTTGGTGCTATTTCACGATCGATATATACACACAAAACGAAGACGACCACCGAAGCAACTTTATGCTTTATACCATTCGGAGAGTCCAGCAAAAACACGACCAATTAGACATCCTGATAAGATGATTTTGTTCTTTTAATCGGTGAATGAATCGGAAATAGTTTTCCATAATAAATTTCATGTCATCATTTTAATTAGATGTATTCAATTGGACAATCACGTACCGGAGTGACAGTACAATACCAGCACCATACAATAAATTCGTGTATTATGATCCGCGGATAAAACAGAAACAACAAAATCGAAATTATGCTGCGAATAAGACAAAAAAAGTTGCATGGTTTGTTTCAAAATTTGACATCACCACCGATACTTGATCGAACGATATTTTTCGAGGATACATCGTGTAAAAGCGGTATCGTATCATTTACTTCGAGGTAATCGATTGTTAATTTGTTCAAATTTTCCTCGGAACTTTCACACGAAATACTGGCTTAACTAACCTCCGTAGCAATTCTATTTTAATTATTGCTTTTCTATAGGCAAGCTTGTGCCATCGAATCGGCTGCAAAGTGGAATCCGAATCGGGATATTTTTGTGCTGTTCAATGCGCCTATAGGCTTGCCTGCAAATGGATCAATGGTCAATTCACCAATATTGAAAGCATTATCGTCATACTCGAACATCAAGTACCGCAATGTGGATTGGTATAAATATGCCATGATCAACGTCTATTCCACATTGTCTTAATAAATTTTTAAAATATGGATTTGCTCGTATGGATATGATCGCATTTTTGATGAATCGTATGCCAATCGTGTTTGAGCAATGAATTCTTTACTCGGAAGCTATATATAAATCCAATGAAAATGCAAAGTATCGACGCAAGTGACGTCTTTGTTGACACAAATGGTAAGTGTTTGGAAATTGCTGTCGTTGTTGTTTTTTTTTCTTTCAAGGTTTTCGTAACTCAATCGATATAATCATCGATAAAGTGATGAATGTTTGGTTCATTCAGTCAACGAGTGATCAACATGAACGATTGGTTTAAATTATACTTATCAGGACGAAGATTCCATAAAAGTTTAATTTTATCAATTGTACTGGTAGCGATTGGACTTATTGTTCTGTAATTATTACATTTGTGTCGAACAATTATAAATTTAAACCGGAATTTGGTTTTAATACTTAATTATTTCAGGAATTTTATGTTAATTTCGGAGGATAAAAATCCTCATTACAAAAGTAATGAAGAGCTTGAATATGAATATGCCAGTGAGATGGATGATTACGATCCGTCTAGTTTTTCCATTTTGATAAAATCGAAAGCATGGTACTTAAAAAATGGTACACGATACCCAGAATCGGCATCTATTTCTAGGCATGATACAGCTTTGTTGCCATTCGAAAAATCGGATAATGATCGCATTCTAAATCAGTTGATGTTTATTCCCCCAAATTATAATCCGAAGAATATCAAAACAATTTTGGTAAATAATGGATATCCGTATTGGTTTGGGCTTAAGGAAGAGGCTCAAAAGATGGTTGGAGATCCCCCGTTTTGGTGGAAACAACAAAAATCCGAAGACATATTCAAAGATTTAAAATGTCCGGTTGATGCATGCCGAATAACAGACAACAAAAAGGAGAGACAAAGCGCCGATTTGGTTTTCTTCCTTGATTCTTATGAGCATACAAATGAGACAAGACCAGCAAATCAACTGTATGCACTTCATCACATGGAAAGCGCTATGGGGACAAACCCTTTCGATTACCCAGACGTATTCAATTGGACCATAACATACAGGTAAATCTAGAGCCTCGAAATATTTTCCATCTTTGTTAACCATGTTTATTGTTTTTACACAAAATCAAAGGCACGATAGCATCATAACTACACCTTATAATAAATGGGTTTATTATAACCCTCGGATCAAACAGATGGAGCAAAGCAAGAATTTTGCAGCACATAAAACCAAAAAAGTGGCATGGTTCGTTTCAAACTGTTGGCCTTTTAACAACCGAAACCAATATGCTGCAGAGCTCAACCAGTATATTCCCGTTGATATTTATGGCAATTGTGGAACTATGCACTGTCCACTCTCGGATGAGGAAAAATGCCATCACATCCTTGACGATGACTATAAATTTTATTTGGCTTTTGAAAATGCAAACTGCAAAAACTATATCACTGAAAAATTCTTCACCACGGGACTTGGGCATGATGTCATACCTATTGTGATGGGAAGCACACCTGAGGACTATGAAAAATACGCACCTCTTCGATCGTTCATTCATGTCGATCATTTTAAATCACCGAAAGAATTGGCCGAATACTTGCACATTCTAGATCAAAATGATGATTTGTATAATTCGTATTTCAAATGGAAGGGAACCGGCGAATTCATTCCAAATTGGGCTTATTTTTGGTGCCGAATATGCGCCTTACTACATGATGATCATACCATGTCCACGAAACATTGGTACAAAGATATAAATGAATGGTGGCGAGGACCCGGAATCTGTACAAAAGGCTCTTGGCGTCAGGCATAAAGGCATAATTTGAATTTTTTCCCTAGTGAGTTTATTTTTCGCATATCGAATGGTTTCACATTACGTGACTGAATAAATTCTATTCAGCCTTGTTTAGGCTGAGTTCAAATGAATGCACTCGTTTATATTTTCCCCCAAAACTTTTCGTATACTGAATAAAAAGTGTTGGCAATAGTTTCGTCAAAAGCATGTCGCGTCCAAAGCAGGAACATACTTTTTCACCAAATAGCCATAAGTAATATTTATATACTTGTCATATATATCTTAACTGATATTGTGATTTTATTTGATTCCTTTAAAACTACCTTCTTGAATATACGATTATGATAAAATATAAATGGGAATTTTCAATTAAAAAAAATATTGAATGAAGGAGTTCAAAACATTCTTTTGGTGTTGAATTGGTACAACTCTACTTGACCTGATCATTGGTTCGATTGTGATAGCTGTGTCTATTAGATGATCCCAGGGACATGTACATTGTACGGCTCAGATGAGCAGAACTGTCATCCATTTATATACGTAAAAACAGTATAATAATGATGAAAACTGGCGCCTAATTTGAAAATAAGACACGATGTAAGGGAGTTGGTATCTAATTTGACAAATATTTGAGTCAATATGGAAAAAACATTTGTTGCGAAAAACTCAACATGTGTTGGAATTTGACACTTTCAAACATTTTCGTACGTAGAAATCAACTTAGTTTTCTCTGTGTACGTTTACACTAGAACAGAA